TCCAGTGACGTGAACAAACAGCTCGTAGCCAAGTAATGAAGTCGTTTAACGTGCACATTGTTTATTTTGTTTTTCGTATTGTTTCACTTCTGTGCTAACTAACTAATATTACCAGTAACAGTTTTGACAAGCGTCGGGCATATTCTATCTAACCTCGACGAGTTTCAACGATGATGAAATGACGAAACATATCGAATTGCTGGCTTTTCATTTTTGTTGGTCGAAAGTTACAAAGTAGTTCATCGTGTAACATTTTGATACATGTACTACATAGTATTGGTTACAATCTCGAAGCCGCAGTCTCGATTCCCTTGTTGCAGTGCTGTTTGATGATCCGGCCAAGCTCTGCGTAAAACTCGCTGTTTCGAAGTACATGTTCAGCGATTTGGTCTGTACATCCAAAAAAAAAATACATTTAATGTAAAAAAAAAAAGATCTTTTAAATCTAACGTTATTTAAATCAATCGGTCCCAAACAAAACTTTTTCTTAAATAACAAATCGGTCGGTAATTTATTAAAATTACGGACCGTTTTGTTACATGTATCATTATGTAGCAGTTGTGTGCAGGGGTTGATACAGTAACATGAGATCTTCCAGCATTCATCATGCACCCCAAGCTGTTCGCGCTGCTGTGTCTGGTTCTGCCACGCTTGACTTCGCCACAAGCCGTTGGAGCGGGTCAGTTTCACTCATTGAGTGGTTCTCATGAATGTGATTTCACATATTTACACCCTCGACGATACACCGCGTATCACCTTCCACCACCAACTAATCAGTTCTCACCAAGCATCTCGATCGACGGAGTTCTCGACGAGAAAGTGTGGGCCGAAGTCCCTTGGAGCGAGCCGTTCCAAGACATTCGCGGCGCAGCATTCTGGTCGCAACCGTGGTTCGCCACCAAGTTCAAACTGCGTTACGACCAAAAATTCCTCTAGCTTGGCGCATATATCGAGGAGACCGAGGTGTGGGCCAATGTATCACAGCGTAATGAGGTCATATTTCACGACAATGACTTCGAAGTGTTCGTTGATGCTGACGGGAGCACGCACAACTATAAAGAATTCGAATTGAACGCCCGGAATGCCACTTGGAATTTGTGGCTCAACCGCCCTTACAGGGATGGTGGACACGAGAACAGTACCCGAGTGGATCCCAAGCATGGATTCGACATGCTTAATGGCGGCATGCAGTCTGCAGTCTTCGTCAAAGGACCTATTAATGATCCATGTACGTTCCAGCTGAAACAGTTCACGTTGACATTGTAGCTTATCAATGCTGTTGATATCTCCGTAGCCGAGCGTCTGCACTATTGGACAGTTGAGATCGCATTACCATTGCAAGAACTTGCATCGCATTCGTCCGCGAAGGTTCCTCCAGTATCCAATTCTTTTTGGCGGATCAATTTCTCTCGCGTCGAGTGGGCTGTTCGTGTCGCCACGGATAGCTACACTGGCAAACAGCACTACGAAAAGAAAGCAGGGCTGAACGAGGAAAACTGGGTTTGGAGTGCACAGTACGCTGTCGATATGCATCGACCAGAGTGGTGGGGATATCTTCAGTTTCGACCGCAAGGCCAATCCCCGCCCAGAATGAGCGACGAGGTGCCTCTTGACCCTGAATGGGGTGTTCGCTACGTCAGTTTTCAGTTTTACTACGCGCAGCATGCATTCCACAAAGTGACGGGGACGTACACTTCAAGCTTGGAGCATTTATTACCGTATTTTACTTCTCGGGAAGCTATTGAGTGCACCAGTCTACTTGACACGAGCGCCACAGAGAAGTCGTTTAGTGCTCAGATTGGGCTGAGAACAAATGATAGATTCGTTGCGAGCATCGAGGAAGACGGATACATTACCGTAGAGAAGGTGAGTAAAGCTAGCATCACTGCGATTGAATGAGGTAACAAAGAAATTGACATGGAAAGTAACTTCATATTTGAGTTTTTACATGATTCGTTCAACGCATTCGTACAACTTCTCTGGGTTGTCTTCACATTTTAGGCGAAGTAGATCCACATGCTGAATGTGACGGCTAGAGCAGCGATACCGCTGCCAGCGACGAGAACGTTGACCCACATGGGCTTAACAAGCTCCGTAGCATCGAGTTTCAGGACCTTGTCCCAGTGGATCATGTACTTCCGCACATCCTCTGAAGGACGGCTCTTGTGTTGTGTCAACAGACTCACTACGACACAAACGACCATAGCTGTGAGCCACAGCAGTAGAGCAAAGTGCTGGAAGTTCATGTAGAAGAAGGTGTTGATGACACCCGGGAGGTCTCCATCCATGCTATCGTCCTTAATCGTCACGAAGATCAAACGTGAGAACCCAAGCAGACCGCCAACAATCATGGCCGAGAACGCGCCGTACACATTCGCTGGTTTCCAAGCAACACCAAGCACAAGCACGATACCAATGGGAGGGGTCAAGTAGCTCTGAATCTCCACAATCTGCTCATAAAGACCCGTTCCGTTGCGCATAATGGGGATCCAGCAGAAGCTTAGCACAGCAAAGACAAGAATGCTCATCCGACCAACCCATACAAGCTGCTTGTGCGAAGCATCCGGACGGAACTTGAGGTAGATATCGTTAGTGACGACCGAGGATCCAGCGGCAAACACGGACGCGAGACTCGACATCATAGCGGTAATGATACTGGAAATCATCAAGCCAATAATTCCATGCGGCATCATCTCCGTGAGAAGCGTCGGGTACGCGGCATCGGTACCGTCGTCAATCTTGCTGAAGTCGAAGTAGATACTGGCAATGATTCCCGGAATGACAATTAAGAACGGAGGCAGCACCTTAAGCATACTAGCAAAGGAGCATCCAGCCTTGGCATTGGCTGTATCTTTGGCTGATAGTACGCGCTGCACGAGGTCCTGATCCATGCACCAGTACCAAATGGAACCCAAAGGTTGGCCGAAAATCATACCGGTCCACGGGTAGTCCGGATCATCGGTAGGCTTCCAGAGATGGAACCATCCAGAGCGATCCTGGTTGGCTAGATTCTCTTTGATCCCTTCAAACCCGCCGATCTGGTTCGTCGAGTACACAAACACCACAAGGCCACCGAGAGTGAAGACGCACATCTGGAAAAGGTCCGTGTACATGACAGCACGTAGACCACCAGCAATACTGTACATGGCACTAAGGGCGATGCAGACGCCAGCACCGAGGTATAGATTCCATCCCAGTGTCGCCTGGAAGACAATTGCACCGCCGTAGATACTTGCACTCATCTTTGTCAACACGTACATGATGACGGTAATGAGTGACAAATAGTGACGGCACGGAGCACCGAAGCGGTATTCGAGGAACTCGGGTGTCGTGTATACACCGCAGCGACGGTAAATTGGGGAGAAGATCCAGCCCAGACATAGGATCAAGATGGCGGCGTACCATTCATACATTGCAACTGCAATGCCACGACGAGCTCCGTCTCCGGCCATACCGATGAAGTGCTCGGCGCCAATGTTGCTTGCAAACAAAGCGCCACCAACGAAGTACCATTGCATGCCGCGGTCGGCCAGGAAGAAGTTGGAAACCTCGTTAACTTGGTGCTCCGGACCATCACGGGCGATTAACGAAGCGGACGGGCGATTTTGAGAGATGGTTGAACCGCGCTCGTCACCGACAGGTAGTTTCTTGCCTGGAGTGGCCTCCGGGGCCAGATAAGCGTCACCAGGGGACTCAAGGGCTTGGGCATTATTGCGTTTAGCTTGTTTGATACAGGGGAAGTAATTGGCCAAGTGGCTCTCTCCAGCTTGGATGGAGGCGATGACAGCCACGACCATCGTGAAGAAGAGCACTGCGACGATGATGAGGATGTCGGCCCAATTGACTTTGGCGCCCCCTGATGTGTCGGGGACCGACTGTGTGTACAGCTCGACCATGTTGTTGCTCGCTTGTGCCCCAGGAGGAGAATTAGAGAATGACAAGCTCTCGTATCGCGTCGGCGTCCATGAATGACACGGACACAGCGGCACCACCTGTATAGAGTCTCACCTAACCAGCCCAGCGCCGTTGCAAGACGGGGCGGTGCCACATTCAATCCAGAAAGAGCTTGCCCTGCCCGAGAAAGCGTCGCTGCTTGCGTGGCAAATGGCAACACCACCATCTTGGCTTGAAGTTCGGATTGCTGATTGGTCAAAACGTAAACCATCTGGAGACCAAATCACGAAAATTGTAGGCTCCTGCATTTGCATCTGTTTACAAAATGCAAGTCCTTTTACAAAAAATATTAATATAGCTTGAAATAAAACCACGAAATCTTTAAGTTCCACAATTGCTGTGGTTGCTTGAACACAGTAACTTTGAGGTTGGCGTTTGCGCTTTCATTTTCAAATCGAGAGCGAATTTTCTAGAAAGCATCATTGGATGTACCACGAGCAACGACATTTATGCATTTACAGGGTGTTCTGGAAGCCACTTCAACGACACCGGGACCTGAGTTCGTAAAAAAAAGTACCCGAAGTTCGAGAATCGCTAGTAGCCAACGCGGGGGTCAGTTTCTTGAATTCGATCGAAACCTCCTACATGTATCGCGGTTTGTAGGCTGTGCGGTGTAGATAGTACTTTTGCGTGCAATCATTTTTTTTTTGATAGATATCCGCGGTTCCTTTGATGAACAGGTAAGAATTATCTTACATCACATCTCGATTTGGGCTGAGAGCGGCACCTTCGGGTGAAGATGCACCAGAGGATTCACACGTATCTTTGATCTTTGATGCTAGGGCCAACTTCAAGTTAAACCACCAAAAATAGTGAAAACACTTTATGTACTGGAGAAATTACTTGACCACCACTTAACGCTAATTAAGATAACGGAGTTCGATGATGCTGAGAGTCGTCTTCTACTGTAGTTACATGTAAAAACTTCATGCCGATCACATTGTCTTCACGAAGAAATGCTGCGCTACTGTTATTAATAATCAGTATCAAACGGTGGCCGCACACCGTGCTTTTTGTTTGTAAAGTGTACATGTAAGTGGTCGACACGACGATTTGCCGGCGCTTGCACCACAACCTCTCGTCGCTCCTTGACAGTTAAAAGGAGCACGCACGTTGAAGTTTAGGACCGATTTGCTTGTTTTACTCGACACCGATGGCTCCCGGTCGAGATATCGACTCGAGTTCAGAGCGAGCATAGCACTGCTCAGAGTACATAATGCTACCGAGCTCCCCTCTTCGAGTGCGGCTTGAACTACAGAGCCAAAAGCTGAGACCTGCTAGTCGACAACATGGATAGCGTGATGCGGAGTTTAATCGCCTTACTCATCCTGACAGAGATGGTCGGCTGGTATTTGAGACTCAAGTGTAACCACAATACTGAGCGCATCACTTGGGCAATGGCTTCAAGTTGAAGCCCTCGCTGGAGGTGTACATGTACGGGATAATACGGGATCTTTGTGCCATACACTTCGCATTCTCGTAGGCGCGGTGGAGCATCGGACGGTCGGTATCTCACCGAACGTTGACCACGAGCAACTTACTCAATTGGTCCAATCAGTTTTATTTGTGAAATCGATAAACCCTCTCCGTCAGTTTTACCTAGGTGACTCTTCTTCAGGTTTAAACAAATTTCATATTTCGACAATCGTGCGGCAGATCAATCATATTCACAGGAGATTTAGGAGACAGACGTTTGGACTACAAGATGCTGATCTCCATTGGCATGGTGCATCAATACTGTACATGTGGAGAGATCTGATCACCGTTCTGCAATTACTCAAGAAGCGACGTTATTGGCTTAGAAAGAATTGGTACCAAACACGGTTCTGAAAGCCTCTGTTGAGACCACCAGCAATACCCTTCTCGACGGAGTGCGGCGATACAAATTCTAAGCCGGCCTTGCGGCTGACACCCTCGCAAACATCGTTGCGATAGTTGTATTATTCTATCGAGATAAATGAGCCCGAGCTTGCACAGCGCAGACCAGATTAGCACCCGTAAGAACACCGTAAAAAATAATTCCGACACAGTGCCATAACAAGCAACGCTAATCTCCCATGTTCGAAGAATTCATATACCAAGCAAGAATACCACGTGCGCAGCTGCCAGGGATGATTTCGTCGAGGTCATTGCCATTTCGTTCAGTTTAGAACTGAGTGCCCGAATAATGCGAGGGTCGAGTTGTTGAAATTGTTTCCTATCATCTACAACCCATTGCTGCAACCATTGCAGCACCAACCATACATCGGGAGAGTCTTCATCTTCATCGCCATCTAAAAGTGACAACAGTGCTGTACACAGCGCATTACGTGCCATGATTGACAGTGCCACCATACATGGAGTCTGTATCATCATCATCAGACGCCGTAGCAAGTTTAAGTCGTCTTCGACTATGCACAAACGAAACGCTAGCTCATACTCGCCGCACTGTGCCGCTTCCAAAGCTGCCTCAGCCCTAGTGAGCTCGAGGTTGGTAGCCATGTTGTTATCGTCCTGCTCGTTATCATCATCAACGTAAATGTCGTGGTTTGACTGGAAGGCTTCAGTCTGGTTAAGTATACGAGGCCTTCGGGACTTCGGAAGCGCTATTTGAGGGATATCCTGATGCTGCGCGCGACGTGATCGTGTTTGTGCTCTCTGCTTTGCTACAAACTGTTTTAAAGTATTAACGGATTCCATTGCTCCTGCCAGTGCTTGCATGGATCGTGGTTGTTTGTCAACTCCCTCTGCAACGGACGATTTCAATGCCACGTTGCTTAAACCCGACTCTGTGCGCGATGTTTGGTTGCGCTGATCTCCGCTACTCATCTCATCTTGCGACGGTTTCTCGGCTTCATCATCATTTTCTGGTGCAGCACCATGATCCATGTATGATTCCGTGAATATCTCGTCATCTGGAGTAGATTCTGGACGCCGTGGCAAAAGCTGAGTCGCTGTCCCATTATATATTGCTGCTTCTTGAATCGTTCTGACTGAATTTGTGAGAGATACCTGGTTGTCTTCAGCAGTGATAGATTCTTGTGATGGCAAAGCCTCATCGCCTGCATGCTCGTCAAAACTCTGCTCGTTTATATCTTCTACCACTTCGGATGGAGAATCTGGCTTCCCTTTGTTCGACTCAGCGATTTCAGTGTCATGCCTGCTATTCTCTACCGATTTTGCCCAACGTTTGCTAGTAAATGAGTAGCCTGGCGGTTTGGGTGGAACGAAGTCATAAGTAGAAGCACTCGTGCTGGACCGGAGCTCCCCACGTGCTTGTGGACACATCTTCTCTAAACATTCAAACGCCATTGCAGCAGGAATGGCAGCTTCGCGGACGACAGAAACCGAATCATGGCGGCCAGCGAGCACGAGGGCTCGAACTCGATCCTGTAAGTGACACAAATTGGTGAGTCCGGATTCACATTTCAATCTGGAGAATAACGTACCAACTGCGACTGAAAATACTCTTTAGCAATCTCTACAGTAGAGCACCACGCAGACTCTTGCAAAGCAAATACATCGAGCACCAGAGTCAACAGTTCTAGACCACGTTTACGTAACATCCAGTTATCTCGAGGGCCGCATTGGAAGGAATCCTCGATCGCTTCGTAGATGGAACTAATATATGGAGCAAAGTCGTCCCCAAGCTGCGTAAAAGACCCTTTTTCTTGGGCATCTCGAGCCAGCAGACATGCTGATTGGAGCAATAGAAACAAAGATGAAAAGGTGGCAAACATCGTGCTACCGTCCATCTTCGCGACGATGTCGGCCAAGAGATTCTTGAAAAATGGTCGGATTCGCACGGCATGAGCGAGGATGGTGCTTGGACCTGGTACGGATACTCCATCAAAATCAACAGGGCGAAGCAGACCACAGAGACACCTGGTGGCTGCTTCGCCCACAGCACTAGTCTCCTTCGCAAACACTGCAGCTACCACTTCAAATGGCTGCGTAGTACTCCCAGCATCAGGCAGCGATATTGTGGGGCATGGCAAGACGTACAAGGCAATGGCTGACACCAATATCACGCATGCATCCGTTGTCTTTGCGTGTTTGTCGCGAAGACGAAGGCAAGTATACGATAGAATCCTTGGTAGAAGCTTTGCTGACTGGACTGGATGGCATCTACAGAGTGCTGCAATGAGAAGAACAAGCATGCGTCGGGTAGAAGAGCGACCAGGCTTCTGCATTAAAAAACTGTGAGTATATCTTACCCAATCGAAGCTTTAAACAAGTTCGGCTTACCTTGTTTTTTTCGATCAGCGCATACACTTCCTTCACCGTTGATGGTCCTAGGCCTGGAAAGCATTCACTACAGAAGAATTTTGAATATGCAAATCTGATAAAATGCACGTTTTCAAGGTCGAGTTCGTACATGAGCGTAGCGAAAGCTTGTTGTTGTGTATCTCGGTCTTCCAAGCGGCCGATTAGAACATTCAAATTCGATATTTCTTGAGTTTGTCGCTCCTTGGTCTTGCGGTCCTGCTTTTTCTTCTTGATCGTACCTTTGGGGCTTAAACTGTCCTTTATCGACCCAACTCTTGTGCGCCCGGGTGCACGTCGTTGAAAATTCGCCTCCATCATTGTTGACAATATAATCGACTACTTAGTATTCTGAATCTCGACTTCTTCTTATGGGTAGCAAGAGTGATCGAAAAATAAAAAGATATTTACGGCTTCCAAATAAAGCTGCAGTCCAGCGTGTTATTTTGGGCCTTGTTTTCCTCCAAGTGGAACCAATTGGTAGAGTTATCCGTAGAATGCGCTGATTGGAGAGAGCATGTCCATGTCGGACAGGTCGTCCGTGCAGATGCTGGAGAAGTCGCTACGCTGAGACCACCACAACGGCGAGTTCATGCCATGGTCGCTCATCTCATCCGAGTTTTCAAAAGTTTCTCCCCACGAGATCTCCCCGGTGCAGCTCTCAAATGCTACACTGTTTTGCAAGTGGAAATCTTCACCAACGTCCAAGGTTGGGTGAGGCAGGACACTAGGCGCGATGGTGACCTCCCACGACTGAGATTGAGAATCTGAAAGACTCAGTCGAACCTCCAGTGGCTTCAGTTCCGAGCTGTAGGCGATGTTGGGCATCTCAAAGTCCTTCGCAACATTGTCGTATCCAGCTATCTGCTCGATCTTGTTTGGGTCTCCGCGAACGAAGCAGTCATGACGATAGATGCTGAAGTCCCAGTGACTCTCGTCCAAGCACTCAAAGTTCAACGCCTCCAGCGTCTGATGAACCGAGCAGACTCGTAGCCCAAGAAGTTGAGCGAGCTTAGCTTCTCCTGCATGTTCCACGATGAACTGTGCCCCATCCTCGAGCCACGCAAGCGCGTCTCGCTCGAGCTCATTGTCCAGAAGGAAATGCAGCCTCTCCAGAAGATTTCTCCAGCTCCAAATCTCCCCAGGAATGTCGAGTTCTGCTTGAAAATACCAACGTTAATTCTCGACACGCTCTGCAACTTCAACGCATTTTCCGACCGTCTGGCAGCTTCTTGTGCTTCAAGCCTCGCCCTTCCACATCGCTGTCGTCTGAAAGAGCCCCCAATCCGTTAGTTGGCCGACTCATGGCCTATACGCACTGCAAGACGACGCACCGCTCGCTTCACGTACTCGACGCCCCATGCCCAGCGATCAAAGCGCACTTCAACTTCAACTTTGCCGCCAAATTCAATTTATGAAACAATTCAAACGTGAATCGAAAAAGGCAACTGCAATTCAAATTTCACTTCAACTGTCACAAGTCGAATTCCGCATTCATTCTTCAATTTTGCCTTGGGGTGCGCAAGACAGGAGCAAGAAGAAGGAAAAGATGGGCGGAGGTGACGTTGGCAAAGCTTTCACCGCCGCGTTGGAGCGCACTGGCACCACATTGACATCACAGGACCTGGTGGAGCAGTATGCACCTCTTCCCCAAGCAGACAAGCAGCCAATTGTGCTAGAGCAGTGTAAGTTCTTCGCCTTGTTTGATGCCGATCCTGTTTAAGCACGAGAAGAGACGGACAAGAAGCGGCAAGAAGCTCGCGAGCTTCGTGGCGATCACTATGTCCGGGATATCATGATGTCCGATCGCCACCATCCGTTGAAAAAAACGCCGGCAATTCGAATTCCGCTTGGTATCAGAAGAGAAAGCCAAGCTGGCAGCTAATGGTGTTGCCGCTGCTGAGCGTATGCACGCTAAGAGCTTCGGAGAGAACAACTACAGACTGTACACGGACGACTTGCCGGTCTTCGTGACTGCCGACTCCGTTCTACACGCATGGCACCGTTCTTTCGACGCTTTTCTTTCAGATTTGGAGACCGAGATCCTAGCCAGGAAGCTGGAGTTGGTGTTACGGGCCTAGAGACGCAGCTCATTACAGGGCATCCTTTAGTGGAAGATGCAACGGCGGGAACTACCACACCAACGACAAGACCCACGTCGTTTGCTTTGCTTGGCCAGCGCTTCGTGTGGAGCTCGTTCATCTTCACTCGGCTGGTGTACGACCAAGTGCTGCAAGACGACACAAAACCAGCTCGACGTATTCCAAGTGCTGTCGATGTCGCCTTTGCACTGTTCGGCAACAATGAAGCAGCCACCGAGATCGCTCGTCGAATGGAGGACCATGCACCTGAGCCTGATGACACGAACTGTGACGGCAAGGAGTTTGTGCCACACCGCGACGGTATCCAATTCGCCTCAAACCTAGTAGCACTGCGTCAGGTCATTGACGAGGAATTTAACGACGATGATGACAGCAAGCCGAGGACTACGGCCACTGGAAATTCTAGCATCAGTTCGCTGTGGCTTCAAGCCCTACGAGCGCTATCAAGACCATCTCCTAACAGCGCCAGCACATTTCACACGAGCACGTGGCAGCGACGCCAAATGAACACGCAGATCGCATCATTCACGCAGCTTCGACACGGCTCGGTGCTGTACGCCAAGTTACACGTGCACTCCAATGTGCGAGTATCCAGACGGCATGGTCGATCCTTACCCGCTCTTTTGGAAGAAGATGTTCGAGGTGGCTCTGCGAGTAAAAGTATCGCTGGTGGTATATTCCACCGTGAAGAATTCTTTGACAACTTCACTCGACAATGAAGACACTTGGAGACATAGCTGTGTGTCAAGTCAGCAACTAGCAACTCAGCGAAGACCAAGTGAAGTCATGAAGTCGGTGATGGAGCAGGAATCGCTTGGAAGTGGACAAACACGGTACGCCGGGTGGTATCCAAAACTCTTCTATGCGTGGCGCGAGGATTCGGCCAAGTGTGACGTGCTGGTCACTGACGCACACACGGATAACCCGTCGGTTGAACACGGAGATCCTGGATGCGTGCTGCATCTCGGAGTTGGCGACCCTCTTGTGGCTTTCTTCGTTGTGAATGGGGTTGTGTATGTTGGTCTAGTGTTCAGCAGTTACGAGCTCACCTCGCCAATCAACAAACGTCTGCGTGACGCAGAGTTTGCCTCAGATGCAAGCTCCTCTGTGGGCTCAGCAATCGTATCTGTATAGCGACAAGCAGATTGGAGATGATGCTCAAAGCAAGCTCCAGTAGGAACTCAAGGCGCATCTGCGGGGGCCAAGAGAAAACTTTTGGTTACACGGAAGGAAGGCTCCAGCATCTTGCATATTCATTCTACACGTCACGATTCAGCCTACAACAAGTGTCATAACTCAAGCCTACAGTTGGCAACACATCAGAAAAAACAAGTGTCGTTATAGCCTCGAATCGTATGTTGCACGGCAACATCTATCTATCGGATCGTGGTAATTGTCGTCGGATGTCTACGCTTGTTCTAGCCCGTCGGACCATTTTCCACCTGTACCTGTCGGGTCCATCGGGTCGATAACACCGTCGTCACGCTTACGCCTTTTGTCACGGTGTCCTTGTGAGATTGCGTTGTTTTGTGTCCTTGATGCAGGTCGCTTCTTGGCTGAGGTGGTTTGGTCACTGTTTGGTTTTGCATCTGACGCAGAATTTGTGCTTGTTTTTGTCTTGGCCACCGAATGTCCACAGCCTTTCAGGATGCTGTCGAGTTTCGCTTTCGCCTCAATAGCTTGCGCTGACATCCAGAAGTGAACGTTAGAGTGCAATTGCGTTCAAGAAGAGCTCCCTGTGCCTCTCACCTAAAGACACACTCCGTGCAACTGGCTGTGTCCACGTCGTCTCGTTCGTCTTTCGATTCCAGTAGTAAACATCCCCACTCGCGGCATCGGGTACTTCTTCCCATCCACTTTTCAACATCAACCAACAAACCGTCAACTCCAGAACATCAAAGCCTTAACCAAAAACAGCGTACTCATACTCTGCCAAGCTGTCCGCCGTCGTCTTAGGCTCAGCAGTTTCCACCTTCTTCACAGCCGAACTCCCAGGTCGCTCCCACACTGTCTCGTTGGTCGTCTAAAGCCGCAAAATCTCGGTTCAATCACGCCCAACACCCTCTAAACTGCTCAATCCATAAACACTCACCTCGTTCCAATAGTATGAATCTCCCGACGCCGGATCCACCACCTCCTGCCACCCTGGGGGCAGCGCATTGGATTGTTCCGTTGTCGTTTTCGACTCCAATCGGTAACTTTCCACCTTCTGCTCGATCTGATGTGCCTTCTGTAGCTCCTGCGCTCGTCTCAATGCTACTGCATGCAGTGTGTTGTCTCTCACTCGAGGATCGAACTTGTCGGCCGCTGACGGCTTTGGTTGCGCACCAATCACGCGGCGTTGAGCCACTGCGGATGTGGCATTGGCTGTTTGTTTCTGTCGGAGCTGCTGTTGCTGAGCCAATTCACGTTGGCTGGGACCGCTTCCAGTTGAGTGGAGGTACTTGAGCGCTTCAGCTCGAGCTTTCTGGGCTGCGAGCTCCTTCTTGAGCCTATCGGCAGCGACAGCGGGCTTAGGTGGCATCAGAAGTTGTGCAGGAGTGTAAATTGGACACTAAAGTGTCAGATGCTCTTTAAATGTATTCTAGAAACTCATTTGGCTTAATGAGCATTATTGCAGAGTTGAAGTTGCTCTTATAGCACATGACCTGCATGGTATCCTCACTCGACATGCAATAGACGCGAAGGTACCGCTAGACAACGGGACCTTATCCTTTTGCAAGCATCGGATACTTCGCCTTCATGTCATCGTTATTATGCGCCAACGAAATTGTGATAGTCATGTGGATGATGACAGTGCCGTTGTCTGGATGAAAATACTTGCGCCATTACTTGCGTTGGTTATAGTTATTTTGAGGCTCGAAACCTCACCGTTGCACGGGTGGTGTAGATTTTCTTCATTCTCCTTCCAGACTCCCGGACTTGCAGAGTAGACTGAGTTGACTACTGAGAGCAGCAATATCGAAGTGAAAAGAACTGCAGCACAATGTTGAGAAGGTGAGCTGGCGTTTGTCCAAGTACGCAGGCCCACTCGCATGAACTCACACCTGAGCATCTAATGCAGTCCAGAACTTCATGCGCAAGCTGGGCCATGCCCCGAGCAAAGCAGTGATCAGCGTCTTGAAATTCGTCCAACAACGTTACCAGCACCGCTTTCTGGTGCCGAGGTATGGAAAAATATCGTAGACACTGCGATCTACGAACCTCAGCCCAAATTGTTTTTTTTTTCTAGGCCACCCAGGCATTACTGAAAGCAAAGATCCGTGAAATTCAGTCCAGCCCAGTGCTGACACCGAAGCAAAAGGCAGAGTCTGTGCAGAATCTCATGATGAAGGACTGGAATGATGCCAAATCGAAGGCTGGTGTTATCAAAACGGAATGCAATGCGGAAGTGGAGCGCAAACGGCTTTCATACCACGTATGTTTGTAAATAACGTGGACGCCAAATGCACGTGAACTAATAATGCTTCTTGTAGGATGAAGCAAAAACGATCTTGGGGTGCAGTCATTACCAGTACGTTATGGTCGCGAGCAATAATATCAAGAAGAATCTAACGAATTGGGTAACGCTGATTGTTTCCAGACGGAAATGTAAGCTGCTCGGTAAATGCTGCGGGAAATGGTATTCTTGCCGCTTTTGCCACGGTAGGTTGCTGCAATTCAGAAGTATCAGCATCCCGAACCAACTTTTTGTAATTGTCCCTACCTCACAGACGACAACGAAGATCACGCCTTTGATCGCTATGCCACCGAATCGGTATCATGCATGAAATGCGATACAGTGCAGCCGATCAGCAAAACTTGTATGAACGAGGACTGTAGATGCGAATTTGGATGCTACTACTGCGACGTATGCAAATTCATCGATGACGACCACAACAAAGACATTTATCATTGCGATAAGTGCAAAATCTGCCGCATTGGCAAAGGGCTGGACATCGACTATTTTCATTGCGACCGTTGCAATGCCTGCATGAGCATCACGTTGAAAAAGCACAAGTGCGTAGAGCGATCGCTCGAGTCCGACTGTCCGATCTGCCACGCTTACATGTTCACGTCCACGACGCCAGTCATGTTCCTTCCCTGTGGGCACTGTATGCATGTATCGTGCTACGAAGAGTACACGCTGGTACGTGAGAGCTACAACCGATTTGGAAGGTGCTTCCACTAACGATTAATTACGTTGGTTTGCAGACAAACTACATCTGCCCACTCTGTTCGAAATCTCTTGGAGACATGGAGCTGTACTTTGCCAGTATTGATGAGCTGCTCGAACGCGAGCATATGCCGGCTGAGTATCAGGACTATAAGTCGTTGATCTACTGCAGCGACTGCGAGCGCAAGTCTACCACCAAGTTCCACTTCGTTTATCACAAGGTGAGATACTAGTAGATGCTATTCCTTCCAGAGCATTCATTAAAGAAATTCACACGTCTTGCTTTGCCAGTGCCAATACGAAGACTGTATGTCATACAACACGAAGCTACTGCGGCAGTTCAAAGATTCCGAAGATCAGGTTGCATGTGGCCCTGTCAGTCAGACTCATACACTCTAGCAGCGAGCAGAGCGCTAATCAAAAGCGAAAAATGACCTAGAAGCTATCAACTTCTCTATCTACTTCCGGTATTGCAGTACTTTGATTACAATTGTTGCGGTATGTACGACCCAGTTCTTGAGGAGTTTGACGAATGGAGAAGTCGTCGTCCTCTACACACATAGGGCCATTGGAGGTTATTCTAGCGCCCGTGGGGGTGACACGACATGCCTTGGACCCTCAACGCAGCGAGGCACTTTTCAGCGCCCCAAGCATTGAAAGTCCTTGCACGCATGTCCTCAAAAGACCCACAGCGCAGCATGTAGTAGACTTTGTAGTTAGCATAAGAAAACTACGAGCATGAGATCGCAATGCAGTCGAAATGCCAAGTGAAGCTGCAAAGTGATTTACTTGTCTGTGAACCGGCTTCTCTCCTCCAGTCTTTCATTATCAATATCTCATTGGCCAAAATACTACCAAATATTGTCCAATAGTGGAAGCGTAATTACCGCTTCAACTTCCAAGATGGCTACATGCAGTCCTTGGGCATCGGACGCTTGTTCTTGTAGCACCAGAGCACGAACTCACCAACTTTAGAGCGTCTGACTGATTCGTATCGTTCCCGGAAGATCGGATCTACGATCGAATCCATCGACATGTACGGTGTGACGAATTCGTGCTGTGGAGGCAGGACAATTGGCGCGAGATGGGAGCAGAACGAAATGTCCGCGGCAGAAAATGAGTCTCCAGCGAGGAATCGAGTGCCGACGGGGCCATCACCGAGCTCTTTCTCAGCCTCTCTCAAGATGCCTTCAATGCGCGACCACGATCTCTCCGCGGACTTCTCGTTGATTTTCAACGCACGCACCAACACAAGCCTCAGCGCGGGAAACAGAAGTCGTATCGTCGAGCGCTGCACCAAACCGTCAATTGGGTCCGCCATTATCCTCTGGGATACCTTTTCATCCTGAAACATCGTATAGTAGACTGCAACAGCATAACATTCAGTCCGTCCGAGCCAATCAAAGAAAAAGTACTTGCTTACCGCAACGACGGGCGTGTGGTCCGAGTTTGGTGTCGAAGAATTTTTCCTGATCTTTCGCCTTTTCATTGGGGTATAGCTCCTGATGCTTTTCAGCGCAAAATGCCATGATATCTGCGCTGTCAGTCAGAACCACTTTGGGGGAAGATGGAACTACTAGCAACGGCACGGAGCGGCCTCCTTTAGGCTTTGTCGATAGGTAGGCGAACAAAGGAGCCCACTTCTCTTCAACAAACGGGATCTTGGCAACGCGGAGTGCCCATCGAGCTTTCTCGGCATAATTGGATGCTGGGATCGTGACGAGCGTGGCCTTGGGCTCTCGACTTGCTATCGACGATAGGTAACAGCTTCCAGACCTTCGGACGACAGGGACGAGCGTCTTCGCAAGTCTAACGCCCCTCAACATGCTGCGGTTAATGTCACCAGCACAAATCTTCTTGTGGCGACTAGTTGAGCTTGAGACTTACTCACGCAATCTCCGTTGGCCAAGTGAACTGAACAATAACTTCAAGGTACAAAATAAAAGAGAGGAACCTGATGTGAAGTAAACTAACATGTAAGCTTCCTGCGGCCAGTGAATTTAAAAAAAAAAGCAGAAGAAAACGGTAATTTACGCCCGAGCTTTTAGTAAAGGAACGACTTGCGTTCCCAGTGAGGCAAGTCTTGCACCGATATCTCCGTCTCCGCGACGTTGTCATTGTTGGAGTTGCAGAGGTAGGAACGTTGAGCCCATCCTGATGCACGCACCGTCGATAGTTCTGCTTGAAAGTCTTCATCACTCAAACGCTTGTCAACGGGGGTCAGGAACTCGTAGCTGGTAAACACAGGGCCAGCGTACATGACTTCGTTAACGACGAAAAACGCCACGATGGGATCACCCACGCCCAAATGCAAAATGCTTCCTGGATCGCCGTGTTCCACTGATGGAATGTCGGTGTGAACGTCCACGACTAATACATCGCGATTTCCTGCGTCCTTAGGGGAGCCGTAAAACAGTTGAGGATACCAACCATTGTACTTTGTCTCTCCACTTCCAAACGACGATTTCTCCATCACCGATTTCATGAACCTCACTTGTTCATAGCTCAATTCTTCATTGCTTGTCTGGAGGAGGGCAATTTCTTCAATTGTTTCCATTGTTGATGCGAATGTCTTGAAGACTTGATATCCTTTTGCAATACTATATCCACGTGAAGAAGAATCGCCAAGCGAATTCGACGCTTGAGTAGCAATGTCCTTCATTCGCATCGCCATTTTTCCAATTAGGTTCCAAAACACTGGGTACGGATCGACCATTCCATATGGATACTCACAAAGCATGCGACGCATGTAGCTTTGCTTCGCATAAAGTACTGTGTCGTGTCGAAGCTGCGTGAATGATGCGATCTGCGTGTTCATTTGGCGTCGCTGCCACGTGCTCGTGTGAAATGTGCTGGCGCTGTTAGGAGATGGTCTTGATAGCGCTCGTAGGGCTTGAAGCCACAGCGAACTGATGCTAGAATTTCCAGTGGCCGTAGTCCTCGGCTTGCTGTCATCATCGTCGTTAAATTCCTCGTCAATGACCTGACGCAGTGCTATTAGGTTTGAGGCGAATTGGATACCGTCGCGGTGTGGCACAAACTCCTTGCCGTCACAGTTCGTGTCATCAGGCTCAGGTGCATGGTCCTCCATTCGACGAGCGATCTCGGTGGCTGCTTCATTGTTGCCGAACAGTGCAAAGGCGACATCGACAGCACTTGGAATACGTCGAGCTGGTTTTGTGTCGTCTTGCAGCACTTGGTCGTACACCAGCCGAGTGAAGATGAACGAGCTCCACACGAAGCGCTGGCCAAGCAAAGCAAACGACGTGGGTCTTGTCGTTGGTGTGGTAGTTCCCGCCGTTGCATCTTCCACTAAAGGATGCCCTGTAATGAGCTGCGTGCCCAGACCCTTCTGGACTATTTGCTGCTGCAGATCAAGTAGAAGTGTCTCCCTATCCGGACCAAGCTTGCTCAAAATCGAGCTCGCTATGTTCGTTGGGATCACAAGTTTGGCAAGCTCATGTGCAGAAAGAGAATCAGCTCCGAGGTTACCGTCGGCAACAAGGCACGAAATAAGGGAATCCGCCCTCTCAATATCACTCAAACTGTCCGATTCTTGAAGACATTGAACCAGCACAACTGCACATAGCAATTGATGCAGATCATCCTGCTGGTTTTCCCCTCCAGCGATGCGAAAATCAATTGTCCCGAGCCACATCATCGCTCGAAAATAATTCTTCAAAGCTTCCGACTTGGTATAATGTCCACGGGGCTTGAAAAGCGAAAAATCAATGGTGCGTTTCGACGAAAACATTTCAACATCGGCGGTTTTCTCTGCTCCAAGTGCTGTCCATAGTGATGTGAGGTTGGAGGGAGTCTCCCCTCTTAGCAAACTCAACCCAACAGTAAGGAAGTTGTCAACATCCTTCATCGCTATAGCAACATGAGGATCCGCTTTCGACAACAAAGTCTTGCACTGATATAGAGTAGAGCTCACTATCTTGTCCAGGAGTGGAGACAGGAACAATTCTAGTTCGACCAAGAACGCGTCAAAACTGCGGTGCCAAGCGTGTAAAATGGAGTCTGTTGTCACGTACACAGGCAAATCGTCTGTGTACAGTCGATAGTAAATCTCAGCGAAGCTCTCAGCTTGCATACGTTGCGATGCCACTACACCAGTGGCAGCCAACGTGGATCTTTCTTCTTGTGTCAATCGGAAGTCGAATTGTCGATTCTTCTTGAGCGGGTGATGATGTTTGGACCTTTTCAATTGCCGAATGAACTCGGCGCCATGAAGTTTCTGAGCGTCTTCACGCTTCTTTTCCATCTCGTCTCGAGCTTTCGCTGGGTCAGCGTTGAACAAGTCAAAGGATTTGCACCGCTCCAGGTCGATGGGACTATTGTCTACCAAAGAAGGTTGTGAAGGATACATGGCCACCAGATCTCTCGATGTCAACGACGTTCCCGTTCGCGCTAATGCAGCGTCGAAGGCGCTTCCGACATCGCCTCCACCCATGCTCCTGGTTTATCTTGTTGCTTTCCAAAGCAAGATGGAAAATAATCCTTGTCACTATAAGTCTGGCCCTGATTATCTGGGTACAAAAAAAATAGAATGAAGGTATCAAGAATTTGAATCCAAGAGTGGTCTCAATGAGAATCTCACAAGGTGCACCATTTCCTGGCAAAGACCTCCGCCTAAAATGACGCTTCACGAGCTGGTGTCGACGCCGAAGTAGCAGCTTCAGGCTGCACGTCAACAGATTGCTACATCGTTTCGACCATATTCGGATGGAGTGAATTCGTCACTTCGACGAAGCACTCTTGACTTGCGTTTTGTTAACTCTGCAACGCAATTACTTGACAGCGAGGAGTCTCGCGGTTGCGTTGATTTTCAGTGGTTTTACAGCACAACGAGTGTTGCAGTTCTTTTCTTCAACAGCCTGTCGGAAGAGATGGGTCGATTGTATGGAAGCTGACTGACTGACACAAACTCCATTT